GAGTCATTTGGTTCAGGCGGGGGTTTTGAGGGTTTAGGTTAGGTTGAGGGATACCATCGCGGTGCTGTTATTTCTCTTTGCACATTTTCATCTTCTTGAAGATATTACTTAAAAAAGGTTGTTGTTACATTATAATCCATACTACTCGCTTTCCAGTACATTCCCCATTCATCACTTTCATCACAGCAACACACTTACACCCCCAACCCCCTTGAATTCCAATTACCCTACCAACTTGTCCTCCCTCCTAACCTGATCTCCATCTCCTACAACCCCCTTCAACCTCCCCTCGCCAATCCCCCCCACGAAAGCAGAGAAAACAATATAACTCTACAGACCTATAATAGCTTCTCTCTCTCTCGCAAGCTAGGTTCTCAGATTATAATACTTGGTCTGGGATTTGTTACGATTATGATTGTGATTGTGTGATATGTAGTGTATAGTGCTGAGATACTGTGGAATGAGAAGGTGAGGAGGTCCTTGTGTTGGTGGTTTGTGGTGAGTGTGAGGATTAGTGCGAGATCCAGAGTAAGAGTAAGGAGGTGGAAGTTGTTCTACAAAATGGAAATGGGAACGGGAATAGAAACGTAAATCTATCATAACATGAACTTTTCTCTCAAGGTATGGGGACGGGCCAGAAAACGACTGTATTCTTCTTTTTTCGTTACGAAAAGGTCGCCTTTTTAAAGTAAACAATTCGAAATTTACTAGCGTACTCGTATGGGATACACGCTTCCTATGAACCCCTAGCGTTATAACTACAGCCCTCGAAAGAAAATTTCAATCCTGGATTTATTTTATTTTACAGTACTTAGACCGTATATTCCCTAAACCTCGGAAAGTTGACCCGTCTTATAACCCCATCCCCATCCTTATTCCTACCCTCATCCTCATCCTCTACCTCCACATCCTCCCTCTCCACCACCTCCTCCTCACCCTCCAACCCCTGCAGACTCTCCAGCCTCAGTTTCTCCAGAAACCCCTCAGTATCTTCCACCGTGCACTTCTCGGCCCATAGATTCCCAACTCTTAGTGAAAAAGGAAGAAGGACCTGCGCTGCGTTTTTGATCTCCTGCCCCGAGAGGATCAGACGTGGGATTTGGATGTAGGACCCGTTGAAGAGCACGATTGCGGCCGTGTGGTTGTTGAGCCAGTAGATCTTGCGTTTAGGTGGTTCGGGTGCGGGTTCGGGTGCGGGTTCGGGTGCTTCGGTGGGGGATGAGGGGGTTTCGACATCGGTCGTGGGGGATGGATGGGTGGTGGATGAGAATTCCACCGCGAACATCTTACACTCCTTTACCTCCTTCTTGTGTTTGTTTCTTTGGATGATCTTGTTTACCTTCTCCGCGCTCAAGATCTCATACGTGGGTGTTGGGAAGAGAATATCTGCACTCCTCTTCTTGATCGCTTTCACCTTTTTGACCTTTTTGCTGGGGATGTGATCTGGTGGAGGTTCAGGAATGGGAATTATAGGTTTCCAAATTACACTCCGTAACCGACCTAAGGCGTTCTGTCGTCGAATCAACGCCCCGATACTCCATCCCCAGTTGATCTTCGAGTCTTTACCCGTAATCTTAGGTGCTTTCTTCCATTGCTCGACCGAGTTGTTTTTCCCCTTTTGCTCTGCAGCATAGAAGGGTGAGACATCGATTAAGGGCGGAATGTACAACCCATCCCGGAGTCCTTGGAGGAGTAACGAGGCGGCTTTAGGAGTTACGTCTGAGAGGAGCTGGTGGTATGGTGTTTTGTGGGCGCGAACGGGGATTTCTTGAGCTAGCGTTTGTGAGAGGATTAATCCGGCGTCGAAGGTGGCGGGTGAGAGGGTTTGGAGGGTTATTCCTGTATAGGGTTCGTTGTTGATTATTGCGTGTTGAAGCGGGGCGGCACCGCGGTAGCTGGGTCCTGATCAGTTTAGAGCTCGGTAAGGCGAGAGTTTATGAACTGAAATGGGTTTGTAGGGGGGAAGAAAGGATTGAGACGAACTTTGGGAGGAGAGATGGGTGGATGTTTAGACCGCCGTATTCTACTGCCTCTAATATTCGACCGGGAATGAAAAGACCGAATGAGACGGCGATGATGAGGTTTATGGGTTGGTTGTTGGGTGTTGGTAGTGTTATCTATATCAATCTCATATTAGCAACCATTTCCATCTTTCAAAATAGAGTAAGATGAGAGGAGATGAGATTGGAAAAAGGTATTCTCATTTCATTACATAAAAGATGAAAAACAAACGAACCTTGTCACTCCGCCAACACTCATCAGGAGTATGCGTAGGGATCCCCAAATTTCTCGCTGCAGATATGATCGGCACTGTCACTCTCGAATATCAGCCTCCAAATCTCTTTGAAAAGAAAAGACCTGAGTGTGAAATGTGAATACCAACCAGGCCTCAAACTGCTCAATCCCCTCCCCGCTCTCTTCGGCGTCTGGTGCAGAACATCAATACTAGCAATCAACTCCGGGTTCTTCAAATGTTCTTCATACAGCGCACTCAAGGAGGCGCAACTGAATTCATCGGAGCCGCAGAATAGGATGCGCAGTGGTTTGGAGATGCGGGGGGTGGAGTATAGTCGATGGCTTGGGGTGCGGATGAGAGATTTGGGGAATGCATTGGGGTCAAATTTTAGTGTTGTACGGAGGAGGAGTCTCATTGTACAGGTCTGAGCTGCATAGCGGATTGAGATTGAGCTTTAGATGGTAGTGTTAGATTGGTTTGATTTTGTAGGGCTGTTTGTATGGCCTACTGGTGTCTCTTCATCAGAGGTTGAATTGCGGGAGAAAATAAGGTTGATCGTGGGTTGTGATTGGCTGATGCTCGAATTTTGTGTTATCTCCGAATAACTTATCGCCGAAGATAAAATGTTACCGAGTACGAGTATCAACAACTTGTATCGCGGTCTACAAATATAAACCCCAACTTCTACATTACATCCTACTAACTTGCTTCTTCGAATTTAGAAACAACTCCCCATACAATGGCCTTTTAGATCCCATCCAAAATTCAATGCCTGCTTTCCAAGTAGAATGAACAGTACCACAGAAAAGTAGCCAAAGCCACTTAGCCACCTGGGTTAATAAGATCCAAGAGGTAAGGACCTAATACTCTGGACCGATTTAAAGCAGAATTTCTGTAATCCGAAACCGTTATGTTACCAGAGACCAGAAGGATGAAATAGCGCTACCGTATGCTGAATCATATACACGTTCAATCCAAGTGAACAAGAGATTGATACATACTATAGTAGTCAAATAAACCACAGTCTAAAACTCACCATCCAATATGAAATTCAAATCAAGTCAAACCACGCGCATCCCTCCCATCCCATCCATCTCACCCCTCAAACCATCACCTCACAAACTCTTTTAACTCACTATTCCCCACTTCAAGCAAAAAAATCATTGCAACATCAACTTTTATTGCAGCTATTGCCTATTTTTTCTTTTCCTATGAAGTATCTTACCAAAGTTCCTTTTTCACGTCCGTCCCAGTCAAGAAATCCCGCGACCGACATAAAAGCCAGCGTAAATTCCTCACTTTGCCTTCCGTAAAAAGAAAAAGAAATGGTGATGAATGAGTAAACGCATATCCTCATACTTCTTTCCACCTTCGTACAAACATTCATAATCGTTTTCCGTTCCACACACCACCAATGGAGAAAATGAATTATCGTCATGTTAACGTGGGGGAGAAAAAGATTAGACCGTCCAACCCATTGATCCATATGTTAGGACTAATAAACGCCAGGTATTGACGAACAGATGGTCAGGCTTTTTCCCTCCATATCGCAAAGAAAAAGAAAAGAAACAAATGAAATTAACGAAAGGAAAATCTTTTACACATGTTCAGTACAAGTGTGTTAATTGTGAGCCGATTCCAGTTGGCCATAGCGAGAGCATTCCAGCGTCTCGGACCAATAGGAATCCAATTCAGGTTGTTTTTCCAATTGAACGTGGATTGCTGTACAGAATCGTATAGGTCCGCAAATTCAAAAGGCGGTTTCGTGCACGATATGCCAAGTCCCATTTCAGGATACTGTGCTATACCAATGGTTGGAGGTTGAGGTATGACGAGTAGGAGTTCACTGGTAATATCTGCTTCCACTCATCATCGAAGTACCAGAAACGCTATGCTCGCGACTACGCATGTCATTTCGACTACTATCCAGGATTCGGTTGGCGACGTTGATCAACATTGAGAATCGCTTCAAGTAGGCGTTGTTAGGCGAAATGTTGTTGACACGCATAAACAGGTGCTCCAGACGTTGAGTGTAGATTCCCATGAGCTTTGGAATGAGATTACGAGCTTGGTCATCCTGAGTTAAGAGTTAGTAGGTGTACGAGTAAGTGTTGTGCAAGAATATTCATAGACTTACCAAATCGCCGGCGTGAAGCTTAGCCTGGAAAGTGGCCAAGATGTTATCCATCCAGTTCAGGCGGGCCTCAAGGAACTGATCTTCCAAGGTAGCAGTGATAATCGCACCCAATGACAATAGCATGAGCGGGCTCAATTCGCGTGTGAAATCCGGGGGGATATTGGAGAAGAATCTTGCAAAGAACTCTTGCTCCCGCTTAGTTTGCAGCCATTGAATGACGGCTTTTTCATATTCGCCAGCTGCCATGTCTGCCTGAATCTTCTCAAGCATCTCTTGGTACTCTTGCTCCTCCGGTGTTTGAGGCGATGGTGCTCTCTCGATTGCAGCCAACGCATTGGATGGACTATCAGCCGATACAACGGAGTCATCTGTCTGACGAGACATACCTCCTCGTCTATCAAGAGTGGCTTGCTTCTGCAATCTCAAGAATTGACCTTGAAATTCTGTTTGGGCGGCAGCCATTGATGAGACGGTTTCGGACAAGCCAGTAACGAGTTGTGTAAGTTGTTCAATCTTCACACTATCCTCGTATCGCTGACGCTCAAACACACTAATCTGGTCGGCAGTCTCACGCTGAACATCAGCCACGATTTTCTGGGTCGATTGAATGGCAAGATTCTTGAAGGATGGAATAATGGAATCGTGGAGAACATTGTGGAATTGATCTTGAACCTGGAATGCAACGCTTTGAGCAAGGGATTTAGACATGATGTCCAAAAGCTGCGGTTGTTGCAAAGCTCTGCTAATCGCATCAGGCAATGCCTTTTGCAACTCCTTTGGTGTGGTTTGCGCAATGTGGGCATTCAACTTGGAGCCAAGTTGTTCGCTGACGACCTTGGTAGTGACATCAGAAATGACTGGTAGCACTGATTTCTGGATGCTGGATTGAACTATGCGGCCAAGGGTTGCCTCAATGTTGTCTGATAAAGTGCTGGAGACGAGCCGAAGCATGGCGTCTTGCTTTGCCTCCGATACAGCGTCCTGCGTACGTCGATCATCTTTGATGCTCTTGTACAAGACATCGAGAGAATCGGTAAATGTCTTCTTCATTTCGGCCGAAACACGGTTCTCGATACCTTTCAATGTCGAGTCGCTAAGGTCCTGGGCCTGAGCTCTTGTATTGTTGTTCGCCTTCGAGACGTTTCCATTTCGGGAATGAGACGAAGGATCGAGTACAATAGTCTTAGGCTTTTCGTTTTGAGATGTAGAGCTAGGTCCGGCAATAGGCTCGGCAGAGCTATTCGCCTTTCTGCGCTTCTTCTTCTCGGACTTTTCACCAGGAGCGGCAGGGGTCAAACCACCGTTGACGGCCAAAGGTTCCCTCTTTTCCTCTGCCTTGGTGGTTGAGCTTGGCTCCGCAGCAACCGCTTTTTTGGGGGTCTCCTTGGGGGCCGTCTCCTTGGCTGCTGGTCGCGGAACAATGTGCATAGGAACTGACTGTGTAGCAGGTTCGGAAACTTCTGGCACAGGAGTTGGTGCAGCGGGTTCCTTGAGGGCTTCAAGAGAAATGATTCCGTCTGCCTCAGGTGTCTTGCGCGGATTGAGGACCTTGTTATCCAAAGACCATCCAAGATCTGCCTGTTTGATCAAAAGACAAGTAACACCTTTGGAGTGCATACAATAGAGCTCAAACATGATTGGTGGGTCGACCTCGGCAGAGCTAATGCTGGGTTGTTGCAAGATATCAAGACTTCTGAGAATTCCCTTGTCTGCAAACGAGTATTCGCGCATGCCACTGATGACAGCGGTCGAATCAGGCTTGAGAATGGTTGGATCATTGGCCACAATCTTCTCCATGTAGTCGGCTTGGGTAACAGATTTGTGAACGTTGTACTTTGGTGCTGACAGGTGTAGGAAATAGATTGAATTGCGAGTAGGGTGGCCGACAACAATCATACCAGTAGCAGCATGGTAAACAACGCTGCAAACAGCATCAGACTCCTTGATGTGTGGAAGGTGTATCTCCTGAACAGGCTTTTGCAACGCGAGATCCCACAATTGAAGAGTGTGATTTTGTTTCATGCCTATGATCATGTATCTCAGAGCTCCACCCTTTTGGTAAGGTCGGAGTTTATCAACGAAGAGTACAGATGTTGGCCAGGACTTTTCATTGGCAGGAGTAGTAGTGAACGTGATGAGAGGATCTCTGATCTCGACATGTTCGGATTGCGAGCCATTGTTCTTGGTCAAGTCACGGATATCCCAAAACTTGACTTTACCGGCCTTGTCAAGAGATACAATGATCGAGTCGTCCTCACTGAATGTAAAGTCCTTACCAGCCTTGCCAGTGTTGATCTTGAGGGAAAGGTGGTTGAGATATCTGTCTGTATCAACGAGGCGATCTTTTCCCCTTTTCAGGAAAGATTGCTTCAAGATGACAGGTGGAAAGATGACATGAATGTACTTTCCACGACCAACGCCGAAAAAGTCGGGGTGAGACGAACTCTTTCTAGCTCTGGTCTTCAACACACCCCCAGAAGTTTCGTTGTCTTGGGCGGGAACAGGAGGCAGTGCGAAGCCGTACATCTCTGGCATCGAGTCGTCAAGATGATCACCTTCTCCATCTTTGATGAGTACCCAATAAACAGTGCCGCTGATTCCGGTGGCAATGACAGATTCCTTCAAGTCTGCTGGAGAGGATGACGTGACGACACTGAAAATTCGATCCTGTGTCTCGGTGAAGATTCTGGCATCCTCGCCATCCTCTTGTCTGATGATACGAATGCCACCATTCTTTGACATACCATAGACGATGAAAGTACCGGAGGCAGTTACAAGGTCACGGTCAACCTGATCGAATTCCTTCTTCAGGCGAGCGATATCCATAACAGAACCCTCGCGGAAGGTTGGGCGAGGCTCCTCGGTATCCTTGATGGAGATTGAGACCCATGGCTTCATGGGGAAATTATAGACTGGAACGATAACTTCATCACTAGTCTTGGACATGTTCTCATCAGCCTCTGCGTCAGCACTCTCCCAGCTATCAGCAATATGTCCTTGCGCGGTCTCGTCAATAATTTCTTTGACGGCCTCTGCAACGGGAGTTGGTAGCCCATCAAGTGCGCCGCTATTCTCCTCCTTCTCGAGTTGTTCCTTGATAGCTTGAGCCGTTGATTCTGCTTGATGTTTGAAATCAGCATCGGTCTCTGCTGCAAGCAAATTTCTCAAGTCCTGCTCAATAGAAGCCTGGCTTTCTTCACGTTCCGCGCGAACAATGGCCTCTTGAGCTTGCTTGTTAGCCTTGGTTCCGACTTCACTGAGAGCATCATGAACAGATTCTTTCGGACCAGACGATGCGCCTGGACCTGATGAACCAATGCCGATAAGCTTCTCGAGTGCGGAGCGGTCATCTGCGATTGAGGAAGGCTTTGGAGTGGACGAATCAATCTTTCGCTTGGTATGAGCAGGACTTGAAATTGTACTTCGCTCATCCAACTTGCGCTTATTATCTGGCGAATCTGGTTGACGGGGCTTTTTCAAGATTTGGATTGCCGGGCTTGGAGAGGTTGCCGAGACAAGATGAGCGCTGGTTGCCTTTGGTGTACGATTGCGTGGTGAGGAGGCAGCCAGTTGATCAAATGGATTGACATAAGTGAACAGGCCTTGGCTGTTTTTTGCAGCAGGCTCCTTGATGTTCTCTTTACCAAACACTGGCATGGATTCCGTTGCGGCGCTTCCCATCATGCTCATGCTAAGCGATGTATCGTCCAAGCCTTTTGTAATTTCCTCAACCTCGTCTGAAGAACTGTTCTTACTTGGTGGTGTCATGATGTTGGCAGGTTTCATTTGTGGGCTGGCTTCGGACTGCGATGGTTTTGGCTGATTTAAGAGCTGCAAGAGGTATGCTTGAGTGTCGGGAGGTGGGGAAGAAGCCGAATTGGTGAAGGTATTAGGTTGAACTGGCGCAATTGATGCAGCCTTCACGCTGGCCTCTTGGGCTGCGCGAGGTTGAGATCCTGCCATCAAAGCAGCTAGAAGATCAGAGCCTGCTCGAGGAGCAGATGCGCTGACTTGACCTTGGACATCTGAGCTACCAAAGGTCATCGAGGGCTCGCGCGATGGTGGTAATGGTGTGCCGATGGGCGGTGGTTGAGTAGCAGATCCCCCGGACGGTTGGCTGAACTTGAGAAGATTCAACAAGCTCGAGGTTCGATCGGCATTGGCCTGACCACCATTCGCGGCAGGAATACGGGCCTGAGGAGCCATGGCTGGGCTCATGACGGCAGACGAATGGTGAGGTTGTTGGTTGTGCGTGGGAGGTGTGGGTAGTGGAGAGGAGACAGCGGGTTGGTGATAGCCATGGGAAGGGTGTTGCTGGTGGTGAGCAGGTGAAGGCTGTTGGCCGAAAAAGGCGGCGGCGTTATTATTATTGGGATAGTAACTGTAACTAGGCTCAAGGGCGACCGGTGGTTTTTGTTGTTGCGAGCGAAGCTGGGCAAAGAGACTATCCAAGCCATTGCTCTCACCGGCGGCGCCTGGAAAACCAGACATGGTGGTAAGAATCGAAGCGCACCAAGGCGCAGTACAAGATCAAGTCGAAAGTTTGCGATGTAGAGTATCAAATGAGAATTGAAAATGAAGGATTTTGTTTGCGAAAGCGCATGTGGTGTAGAGAAGGAAGAGAAGACGACAATCACACGGCCGGGAGCACTCTTGCCCAAGAGCAACGAGAACGGCGATGGGGGACGATCGATGTGGAGAGTTGAAGGTGACGATGAGGAAGGAAGGACGGAAGGAAGGTTGGAAGTAAGTTGTGGTGGCGGAAGGTTCAGTAGTGTGAGTGTGAGTGTGAGTGTGGAGAGAAAAGCTACAAGGCAGGCGCAAGCTCGCGAGTCCAGCACGGGCCACTCGGCGCCCCAGCGTCCCAGCCTTGTCTTCTCTGTTATAGCGGCGAGACAATCCTCAAGAATCACTGCTCGAATAGCATGCCGCTTTACTCTATCTCCCCAACCAGCCGTGCCAGGTTTCGTCCGTCAGGCTTCAAAGCAACTGGAGTCTTTACTTGCTTCACGGTGCCACCAGGACTCGCATCGCTGCTCGGGGCTCGTAGTATCCGCCATTTTGTCACACTCCGCAACGCCCTCTCGCTCCGAATCCTCTCTACCTGCTCTAGTGCAACGTGCCAATACCCATATTATATTCATTTTCTCCGGCGCCGACTAGTCCTTGCCTAGCTGAACCCCCGCCGCGCCGCGACAAACTTGTGCATCCACCCGCGGGCCCTGATGAGCGTCATCCTCGGTATCAGAATCTTTGCGTGAACACGGAATAGCAGCATCGAAGACAGCACCATGTTTTGCTTAAGGAGGTATGTACACTACGCCCTCGACCCTTCATTCATCATGCGATCAAGGCTGACCTCTTTCCCAGCTGGCTGCCCCTCCTATTCATCCCCACAAATGCCTCCCCCATATTCATCTTCCTCTTTTTCGTGTGCACCTACTTCCTCAACCGACCATGTGTATACTGCTCCTTTCTCCTCATGATACTCTTCGCCTCCTCCTGCCACTGGTCCGATCACTGCTTCTTCGATTTCAGCAGTAACTGGTTCGAACCCAGGGGGCCCGCCGGTACCCTCTCTTCCGACTTGGTCAACTCCTCCGCCATGTCGAACCAAACACTAGACCAAGTGGGAATTTACGCGGGGGCATTAAACAACACCGCCTTCGCCTTAGCAGGGACCGCATTGGAAGAAGCAAAGCGCCAGCTGGCACTGAAGACGGAGTGGACCGGGATAGGAGTGGAATGGCTACGAAGTCTGTTAGGAAGAAGAGAATGGCGTTTACCATGCGTGGACGTGTATGTTCGCCTGTGAGTCGAGTTGGACATGTTACGGGATGGAAAGTAATGGAGGGGATCTGTTCACGGGATTGGCATTGGCTTGGTCCGGTTCTGGCGTTATATACACGGCCTCTGTTTTCTTGGGAATTGTCAAACTTAGCATTCTTCGAACTCGAGCGATTCTCCCTTTCTGTGTTTTTGGTGATGATTTCCACTTGGCACTTTGAACTGTTCTTTGCATAATGAATGGAGTTTTTCCTGTATCTTCTGGATGACTAGCGATGGGTACGAGTAGATTTTGCGGTTGTATGTACGTACGTCATACAGGTGGGTAAAGGGTTCACTCGCTTGCCAACCGAATCAAATCAATACTGTGTATCTTGCAGTGAGAGACTACCGAATCCTCATTTACTATGTGGACTTTTGATTAGCTTACAAGGACAAGGGATCACTGTTAGGCAATACCTCCTGGTTACAAGTCTCCATAAGCTGTATCGAGCAGTATTTCCTACCTTGATCGTATTCCTCGTACTGTAAGCAAAGCACTCGATATTATCAGTTCTTCTTGTTTTATGTTTTATTCTTTTATCTCATATCTTGCACCATCCCGAAGATAATTTCCTTTCTCATTGGATCAATCCATGTTTCTTGTCTTATCACGACGATCGGACAGTTTTGCGCTGCCGTGTTGGTTGGATGTTGGTCAAGCCGAACTGCAGAATTCCAGTCTCAGATCGAAACATTGCTACTCACATCTGTAGGTGCGTTTACAACGATCATGTCTTTTGATATACCACTCCTTTTATACCTTCCAAGCCGGCGTCTGTGTGTACAATCTTGTGTCTTCCCTGTTGGTGTAAAGATCTTGAGCTTCTTTTTCAAGATATATACCATCCGTCGGAGATTCCAACGTATGCAGAAGGATGGTCTGGTGCGTACTCTTCTTCTTTAATTTACCTCTCATATACACACCTCTTATCCCTCAAACGAGTACTCGAGTAAACAACCCCTTCTAACAAAACCCCCCCAGCCAATGCCCCCCCACCACCCCTTACTAGGCCATCTCAAACTCAT